ACAGCTGTGGTGGGATGCATAACAAACAATGATGAGTCCAGCAGCTACAGGCAGGAGGTGGAACACCTGGAGAGCTGGTGCAGGAAGACCAATCTTCACATCAATGTGAAGAAGACGAAGGAGATGGTTGTGGACCTCAGAAGGAACAAATACACCTACACCCCCCTGAACATAAGAGGATCTGTGGTGGAAGTGGTCTCCAGGTACAAGTACTTGGGTGTACACCTGAATGACAACCTCAGCTGGGACAATAACACCACCAGCCTGATCAAGATAGCACATCAGAGACTCTACTTCCTCAGGTGGCTGAGATGAGCTGGTCTGGGAAGCTCAGTCCTCACCTCCTTCTACAGGTGTGCAGTGGAGAGCATCCTGTGCTCCAGCCTCAACGTGTGGCATGGAGGCTGCACAGCTGCAGAAAGAAAAGCTTTGAAGAGAGTGGTGAAGGCTGCACAGAAGACTGTTGAAGTCAGTCTCCCCACCATCACAGACATCTACACCTCCAGATACAGGAAAAGGGCTACCTGCATCATGAAGGACCCCACTCACCCAGCACACACACTTTTTGCCCCGCTCCCCTCGGGAAGGAGGTTGAGGAGCATTAAGTGTAGAACCACTAGACTGAGGAACAGCTTCTACCCTGAGGCTGTTAGACTCATGAATCTCTAACCAGAATAATCACTGTTAAGAATCACATCATGTTGCTGCTGATCTGTTTCATGCTGCTGCTGATCTGTTTCATGCTGCTGCGTTCATTAGTGCTCATCTGCTCACACAGACTCGTGTTCGTGCTGCTGTTCGGCGTAATGTTTTTGTACTACTAGTGCTTAGCGTTTTTTTTGTTTAACGTTTTTCTTAGTTCATATCTTAGATCTTATTACTGTTTTTCTTTTGCATTTTTATACTTTTGTTGGCTGTAACTGGGACCCTGTGTACACCATTTTGTTCCACCACATGTACCACATGTGGTGCGAATGAAAAATAAATAAACATTGACTTTGACTTATTGTTGTAATAGAGATAATATGCGTCTGATATTATCCATAATTTAAACGGATTCTTTCATTTTTCTGGACTGAGTACTATCGTGCCTTGAATGATTAAATGTGGACGGAAACGTGTTTAAATTTCTGACTCACCAACAACAGTGAACCGTTTAATGAAAAACGATTTAAAACACATCACACATTTACATTAATTGGCAGATTGATTACAATTAACACAGCTTAATTAATGAGCTTTACAATGAGAAATCACACGGCCATGATTTCTTACTTGCAACTGAAATACAACAGACATTTCTGAAAATATCTGGATTAATTACTGGCAGATAGAAGAGTTTTAAAGATGGGAAAATGAAGTTTAAATGGAGAGAGATGGGTGAGGGAATGTGTCTGTTATAACCAGAAACAACACGCTCCTTTGGACGCAGCTTAACCCACGGTACACTCGCAAGTGAAGATCGACTCTTTTACCTTTGCAGACGATAGTTTCGGCTCCGGTGTAGAGTTTTCTTTCAACTCTTTTCAGCGTCTCCGTAAGAACAGCTGTGACCTCAGGAGTCGTGAGAGTACTTCGTTCAACAGCACGCTCACCTCCCAGGTGGACTCACATGAGCTGTGAGCCCGTCAGAGTTCCACTCAGATGTGGAAGATTTCATAATCCCCACGAGACTCGAAAGAACTCCCAACTAACTCCAGCACTTCAGAACTTTCGTTCGGTTCTGCTCTCAGAACTTTGGTTCATGTCTGGAACGTTGTTCTGCTTGGAACTCTTGTTCTCCCCAGCAACGTTGTTCAGCTCTGGAACTCTTGTTCTGCTTGGAACTAGGAAGTGTCGACCCTTTTAAAGAGGTCACTTCCGGTTCCTCTGAGAACTTCCTGATTGGTTGAACGAACCAACAGGGGTGTGGTTTTAGTGACGTAAGAGGTTATTACAAGTCAGAAAAACAGCGGAATGTTTTTGGAACAGACGGAGAAATGTTTTTGGAACAGACAGAGAAATGTTTTGAAGAAACAGAGACATTTAGGAGCCAGTCTCCTTCTATCTATCTGAGAGAGTTAAACATGACATTTCGTTCCGATAAACATGTTTTTGACCGTTTTCTTGACTTTTGACCGACATCACAACTTCTCATTTCAGACAGAAGATCAAAATGCATAATTACTTGTAACAGGCATTTTAACTTGATTTCTACTTTGAATGAGGATTAAAAATCATTAATACTGTTTCACAGTTGATTTAAAGTGAGTAGTTCACTTCAACATTTAAAATGGTTTGAACTAAACACACTTTGATTATCAAGATATTGTAAAATAGTAATGATAATGAAAAGAGAGTGTTCTTTCAATTGACCAGTGCAGGACACACTCAGAAAGTCTCTGGATGAGCTTAATTTGTGTTTCTGGACTCAAATCAATGAAATAACAGTTCCTGTTCCAGGAAGGCCCTCAGGGTCAGGTTTTTGACCTGAGGCTTAGTTCACTACAGTCCCCCCTTTGGAAATCATCGCCTGTCCATGGGGATGAATTCCAACATGAACTTACGCCTTCGAATGTCCTTGAGCTTGATGTAATCCAACAAGGAAAAACAAAAGTCAAAGGAGGTAATCCCACAATGTTTTTGGTAATTCCATTGTGTTGATGATAATTCCATAATGTTGTTGGTAATTCCATTGTAGCAATGCTTTAACCCCTTGGAAACAAAGTCTGTAATCCATTGAAAAAAGTCATATAATCCACAACGATAAATCCACAATGAATGGAGGTGTTGATTGATCAGCATACAGAGGGGTTCCCTTGGATTGAACTGAAGATGCGGCCACTGGATGAAGAGTGGAGACCAACGTCAGGTCAGGTTTTTGACCTGAGGCTTAGTTCACTACATTGTTAAGCATTGCTTATTTATTATCCTCTCTTGTGGAACCAACTTCCAGTATCTGTCTGTGAGACTGACACCTTGTCCACTTTTAATATTGGGTGTAAGTCTTTCCTTTTTGATAAATCCTGTAGTTGGGGTTGACTTTAAGTTTCCTGATATCCCTTAGTAGGCTTAGACTGCTGGAGGACAAATTGACCTCATTTTCTCACTCTGCTGCTCTTTTTACTTGCTCTACCTGTTTGTATTTATAATTATCTTAACATGGGTGATTTTTTTTATACTTCTTCCAGTGATGGTACACCTAGACCTGCCATTCTGTGTTTGTTTCTCCTTCCTGTCCTCTCAAACCCAACCAGTCAAAGCAGATGGTCACTCGTCCTGAGCCGGGTTCTGCTGGAAGTTTCTTCCTGTTAAGAGGGTGTTTTTCCTTTCCACTGTTGCCTTTGTGCTTGCTCAGGATGGGAGACTGTGATGAAGTGAAGATTCAAAGCAAACTGCTGCTTCCTTAGATAGATATGTTTTACAAAATGGCTTTTTTATGTATGTGAGTGTTTTTGTACAGTGCCCTGAGACAACTTCTCTTGTGACTTGGCGCTATATAAATAAAATGAATTGAATTTATTTTACAAAGTATGCATCAAAGCTTTTCTAATCTATTTATAGTTTAATTATAGTTTAAATAAATTTCAGCGTCTTCACTTTTAAGCCAATTATGTTAGCTCACTAAGCATGAAATACACTCTGGGCTACTAGAACACCCAATTTAAGCTCAATATATGTAAATATGGTTAAGTTATAGCCATTGTATGTGTTTGCTAATGTTATTTAGCTGTGGCGACCATTATGTTTTAAGGTGACTTCAATAGTTAATCAGTTAGGTGTGCATACAATTATTACTTTCTAAGTATTTTATTAAAATCTATCCAAAGGTTCATTACCAAAAGACCGACATGGCTGATGCGAACTGTTATTGCCAAAGTTTTAAGCGAAGATGTTTTGCAATGTGATGAGTTCAGAACAAGTCTTAGCTACTAACACACCTTACTGCAATATCAGTAAAATCAACTGAATTATAGACATTTTTGTGTTTTCTTTTGTTGATTATTTGTGGTGGTCCTTTTGAATTGGGCTGATTCCAAAAGGTCATTATTATGATGTAGACTAAATTATTACTTTCTGAGATTTGTATTAAAATCTGTTCTGTGGTTTATGATGTATATTGATAACTGACAAATAGAGTCTCTTAAGGAAAGAGACTCTAAACCAGCCAAAAGTAATTGTTTTCTTGCATGTAACAGCAGATCACATGATCCAGGAACTGACCTCCAAGCAATCCTGTGGTGCAGACTGCTTGAATCACCCCCACCCCCCCTTTGTTCTGCCTTTTTGTAACTGTCTTGTATGCCCATAGTTTTGGCCTTCCCTCAAAGGTTTCACCCCAGTTGCACATGGTGGGTGGTCAGCATTGTCTTACAAACAAACTTTGTAACAATAACTCAAGATTTGGTCACAGTGCGTGCACGTGTTTTTAAACATGCTGTACATCCTCGAGCTCATAGCTTCAGTGAACAGACTGGTGTGCAAATCTGGACAAAGATATAATAGAAGTAGAAAAATAGTAATATTGATTCAAATCTATTCCATAAACTGCCACAGTAAGTAATGATAAAATGACGTGAACTGTTTACATTAAAAGGTTACGCAATCGCGCCCCCTGGTGGGCAAAAATTTAAAAAAAAATTACTGGACTTCTATTTTGAAGCTGAAGTCGTTCCACTGCCCATCCGGGAGGCTTTATCAATTAAAAAAAGAAAATCATCATTTTATTTTTATTTTATTTTTTAAAGTGATGAAGCCTACCGAGTGGGAAGTGGAACGCCGTCAGCTTCAGAATAGAAGTCCAGTTATTTTATTTTGGTGGGAGGAGGTTGATCATATAAGGATTTTTTTATAACCATTTTTATAATGGTTTTTAGATATTTTTTATAATAATAAATATACATATAATGACTGAGAATCTTCGCCAGCATAACCGAAAAGACAAACAGAGTACGGTGCAGTTCGCCGCCAACACACCAGGGGCAGACAAAAGGAAATAGACTCATTTCCGTTCTGATTGTTCAAAAAAAGACGAAGAAGAAGCGAAGCTTTTCTGCTGAGGAAAATGGCAGACGTAGAGATGGATATCGTGTCCAGAAGAATGAATAATGGCAACGAACACGTGTAAGTTATTTAATGAAAGACAATTAAAGTGTGTAGTTGTAGAATGTAAACCCCTTCCAAATTTATAATTAAAAGGAAACCGTAAAAGTGTGGAGGACTTAGCCACAAGTTCACGTTGCTGCCCGGCCGAGCTAAATTGCATGCTAACGACCGGCTAACGTTTGGGGCTAAGTGGCTAACGTTCTTTAGCTCCGGTATCCATAAGTGTCACTAAACGCAGATATAATAAATACGTATATAATTGTATTTGTTCGTGCTTGTTCTAACACTTTGTGCATGCCCGACCACTTCCTGAACATTTTGTGATACTGTTTGCTATAATTTTATGTTTTTGGTTAGCACAGTTTGCTAAAGGCATTAGCACTTCGAAGCTGCTAGCTAAAATTTGTCTTAGCGGTTTGGATTAAAGGAAGGGCTAACATGTGAAATTGTCTTGGCAATAAATTAATGTAAATGCCACATTAGTTAGTAGATTTGTTAGACATCTTAGTTGGTTTCTGCTTAGCGTCACCTCAGTTTAAAGTTAAATTAGGAGCATTACGTAATGTTGGTGTGCTTTAAGTTACTTGTGAGTTTACTGCATCCGCACAGAGCGTATACTTAAATACAAAAAATATTTTATTACATTTTTCCACATATGCATTTTGGACTATTTTGTTAGACGTAGTGTGTAACCACTGTACTGCTGATGGCAATGCTGTCTTCAGCAAATTCAGTTGTTGATTTACTCTTTTTTTTTTCTCAATTACACAGAAAGGAGGATCTGGAAAGCCATGAAAGAAGTGGAAATGAGGACAGCGGAGGCTTGTCAGAAGAGGAGGAGGAAGAGGTAGGGATGAACAAGACTTAACTTCAGTTGTGGTAAATAAGATCTTCAAGGTTTTCCTATATTTGCCCTTATTGTAGATTAATTTTTGAATAAGCGCAAATTGAAAACAAGTGCAAACAAGAAAAATGCCTCAATTAGCCTGATCCATGATTGTAATCTAGTTTAAATTTAAGTAACGCATCAGGCAATAACTGTTAAACTGTATGTATATAAAATCGGCAAAGTTAAGCAATTAAAATAAAAGCACCAGTTGTCCTACATCTAATCAAATGTGTAAACAATTTTTACTTTTGATGTGTTTTCATGCCAGGAGGAAGCTGGAAATATTGATGAGAAGGTGGATGAAAAGTCCAAACATCACAGCAGTAGTGGCAAACACAAGAGGAAAAAACACAAGCATCGCAGCAAGCACAAAAAGCACAAACATCCATCGGATGAAGACAAGGATCGCAAGCGCAAGCATCGGCATAAACACAGAAAACATAAACGCAAAGAGGTATCCTCCCCTTCTGCTGCAATCCTCTTTGGCTCCTCCAGCCAGAGGAAAGTGGAATCTTCCCCCTCATCTGGAAATCCTAGTCTGGACGATAGGGCTGTGTTGGAAGATCTGGAGAAGCAGAGGGCCATGATCAAAGCTGAACTGGACAGCCAGTTGATGGAAGGTAGGGTTCAGTCTGGTATGGGTTTGATCCTTCAGGGCTATAACTCTGGATCTGAAGAGGATGGAGAAGCAAGGTTCCGAAATGGAGAACAGCATCCAAGAGGCAGCTCAGGTAAACCCATATCTCCCAGAGTGGGGAAAAGTGGGAAATCTAGACGAGACTCAACAACAGAGGTTAGTAAATCTAGCTCCAAGCATCACAGTCGGAGTAAGTCTGCAGAAAAGCCTGTCAAGGAGACAAAGCAGGACAAAGGGACCAAAAGCAGTAAGGTTACAGGTGTTAAAGACCGTGGCAGGAGCAGATCAAAAGATAGAAAGCGCTCGGGCAGCACTGATAAATCCAAGGAGAGAAGGAAGTCTAATTCTCCTTTCAACTCTAGAGCTGAGCAGAAAGTTAGTCGTGTTGATAGACGTTCCTCTCCACAGAGAGAAGTTCGACCAACCCAGGATAGAGCAAGTCGCCGATCCAAATCACCAGTACGAGAACGGCCAAGTCGCTCAGATGCTGATCGGGACAAATTACCAGCCAAGTCCCTATCTAAAGACACATCATTGGGAAAAGAAAACCGCTCCCCCCACAGACGAGGGCCTCACAGCCCCATAAGAAAACGCAGCGCTTCCCCACGTCATAGAGATGCCCACCACACAACTGCTAGTGCCTCAGACAGGATGTCAAAACTGAGCCACTCTCCATCCAGAACAAAGTCTCCCCCCAGGAGGGCCCGCAGTCGCTCAGCAGACACCAGGAGGCGGGATGCAGACAAGCAGGACTCTCCACTCAGGTTGGTCAATAGTTAAGACTTTTCCAGTTGTCACTTATTCAGAATTCATTGTCTGAACAGTTTGGTCCATTTTGTTGTCACTTTTCATGAAGTGTTATTGTGCTTAAAGTTTGAAGTCAGCAAACTAGTTTCTCCCACAAATGTTTGGCTGTCTTGAGAGTGGAACAATAAATGTAATTAATATTATTGATAACTCCGTTAGACAGAGAAGATCTCAAAGCAAGCCTCCCCTGCTGTTTCTACATCGGTTTCTTTTGAAAAACCAAAAGTTTAAAAGAAAAGTATGAAAAATGTTTTGATATGTTCTTTTTATCTGTATAAATTTGTAAACAAAGTCAAAAGGTAAAAAAATAGAGATGTTTGATAAATGATTCGCCTTCGAACCTTATAGGAAGCGACCTCGAGCGGATGCTGGACCGGGCAGAGACAGATCACGGGAAGGGAGTCCCAGGTCGTCCACTCGCCGCAGAGTGAGTCGCTCACCTCTAAGGAGGAGATCTCCATCACCACCACGACGCTCTCGATCTTCACCCCGCAGACGAAGCAGATCTCCACTCAGGCGAAGGTGATTGTTGCTCCTTTTTCTCTCAGAAATCACCAGTTGTTAAAACATCTCATGGCAGTTCCAGTAGCTAAAGGCAGAGTCAGACTCTTGTCTTTGTTTTTGATGTGATTAATCGTCCATCTTTGCTCGTCTTGCAGGTCTGGGGAGAGAGACAGGTATGGTCGACTTCGCCAGTATCGACGCTCAATTTCTCGTGATCGGGATAGGAGGAGGCGGCGCAGCAGAGACGAAGACAAGTTTAAAGGAAGCCTTTCCGAAGGGATGAAAGTTGACCAGGAATCCTCAGAGGGGGAAATGTGAGTAAACAAACAAAAAAAAGAATGTTTGAACTTTTTCTTTTCTAGAAGATCATCATATAAAGCAACGTAAACATTAATAAAAATTATATAAATATTTTACTACTGTCAAATTTTATTTCAAAGACAAGCTAAAAGAATGTAAACCAACGTTATTTGAACACCTACTTAATCTTTGTTGAAATCAGGTCTCTCTTGTAAATGAGTCCTCGAGGCTCAATGGGATTTACTTGTATAAATAAAGGTTGATTGATTGATCTACTAATTTGCAATTTCCTTTGAAACTGCTTACCAACTTTTTTTCAGTTCACCTTTGTTGCATTAAGCTTTATTTATTTATTTAGTTATTATTTAAGTTCCAATGAAGAAATTTTCATTAAGTCTTAGTAAGAAACAGGTTTGTAAAAAGCATTATTTGGGAGTAATTGCTGTTGCGTCCACCATGAGCTCCCTGAAACCAGCCTATTTATGGGCGGGCAGAAAAGGCTGCAACCCAAAACAATTAAAGGCTGATTAGCCAACTCAAAACCTGTCCAAAGGGACAAAATAATAAGGCCAATGTGCCCCAGGCACATAACAATTGCTCAGGTTAATATGTCGTTGCATTTCTCAAATTCTGTCTCTTTGTAGGTTGGAGGACTTTGAGGGTGAGGAGGTTGATGAAGAAGCCCTCATTGAACAGCGGCGACAGCAGCGCATGGCTATCGTCCAGGTCTGTTTGTGACCACTCTGTTCTTTAACAGCTGTTGACTAATTGATGAAGAGGGAAGGCTTTTGTGGCTAATCTCTCTTCTCTCAAACTTTTCTTACTGCTTTTATATTTGCACAGAAATACAAAGGGATGAACGAAGACAGCAACTTGGTGTCTGAGCCCAACAGTCCTCAGAGCAGCACACGTAGCCGTTCACCCTCACCTGATGACATACTGGAGCGAGTAGCTGCAGACGTAAAGGAATATGAACGCGAGAATGTCAACACCTTCGAGGCTAACATCAAAGCCAAGCACAACCTCATCGCCCAGGAGAAAGACGGTAATGTCCTGGTAAAAACAGCTAGTTCTGTTGGCGTACAAGGCCAACTGAATGAACCACACCATCATATGTGCTCCCTGTTGATTGATAATAGCCACATGCCCTAAAGCTACCTAATTTGTACTAGGATGCTCATGAATAGTTGTGTGGATGCACAAATCTAATATTTGTCTCCACTGAAGGTTCTGAGTCACTGCACCTGCTGCTGAAGAACTTGGAGCAAGAAAGCATTCAGCTAAAATGTTTATATCTCACACATAAGACTTATTAAAATAAGCTTTTTTTAAGCTTTTTAATTTAGATTTTTTTTTCCCAAAAATTAAAACATTTTTTTCTAAGCGTGCAGCTATTCCCAATGTTTTAATGATCATCAGAGCAGAAATGGAGGATGGGGAATTAAAGCTGCAGTTGGGTCAATAAATAAAAAAAAATTCTTACTGTATGAACAGGTTTTTTTTGTTGTTCTTTTTTTACTTTAATATTGGATCTACACACATTAAGTGTCTCATTAAAGATTGACCAAAGTACACAAATCTACTGAAGATTATTGGCATGTTCTGTGTGAGAACTCCAGTTTTGTGATGCAGGGGTTATAATTTTGTGTTTTTCTTCTGTCATGTGTTCATTCAGTTGCTGGCTTGTATTCCAAAGCCTGGTTGTGTCTGCCTCCTGCAGCATGTTTTGATCTCTGCAGAGTATGTGAATCAAACTCATGTTCCAGATATACTGTTTTAGGATATGATGGTATGTGCTGAGGAGCTCATCTCGTGTTGTGGTCTGTTTGCTGCTGTTTTGTTTCAGGAGCCAACCCAAAGAAGCCTTCAGCCCCCGACATGTTTACAGAGTCAGATGACATGTTTGCTGCTCATTTTGATGTAAGTAATAAAATGTTAAAATCTTTTAAAATCAGCCTCTGCATTTTATGATGCTATAAATTGCCTTTTTGATTTATTAAGAAATACTGGATTGCACACCTTGACCTTGTTTGTGTTGTTTCTACAGAGTGCCAGGATGAGAGCGGCTGGAGTTGGAAAGGACTTCAAGGAAAACCCCAACCTCAGGGATAACTGGACTGATGCTGAAGGGTACTACAGTAAGTGCTTTCACAGTCTTCCTGATGTTTCCAGATAAACCTGCCATATGGATTTGATCACTAACATGAAATGATCACAAATGGCTGTTTAATCTCACAGCTCTGTGGTAGTAATGGAGCATTGTCTCACTCTAGATTTTCCTTGTTTTTTCCACTCCCGAGTGTTCAAGTTCAAGAATCTTTATTATCCCCAAGGGGAAATTTGTTTCACAGTCAGTAGGCACATAAAACATCCATGCTAGACAAGACATTGAGACATTAAAATAACAATACATGAAATCATCACTGTTTGTTGAGAAGCCTGATCGCTACAGGGATGAATGAGTTTTTCAGTCTGTTCGTCCTACATCTGGGTCCAGATGGATACAACCTGAACTCACCATGGAGTGGGTGATCAGGATCCGCCAGAATCAGCCTGGCCTTGTTCACTGACCTCAGTCAAAATAAGGTTCTGTAGGACTATGCGTGTGCACGGTAGGGCTGGGCGATATGGACCAAAATTAATATCTCAATATTTTAAGATGAATGGTGATATACAATATATATATATTTATATATATATATATATGTTTTTTTTCTTTCCATAAAGTAATAACAAAAATATATTTCAGAGTCAAAGCTTTGTCCCAGTTATCACACAGGCACCTTTATTAACAAACAGCTGTAACTGTACAAAATGAATGTCTCAAAATAAAAGTTTTTTTCCTGCTTAACAAAACCAAAAACACTTCTGTGCACTTAAAATATAAACAGAAAACATAATGAAAGGCTGACTTGGTTTTTATAAAGTGATTCTAATGAAGTATATTAATTCAACCTTTAATAACCTTTATTAACAAAGCTGTTAGAAAGGCCACGTTGTGTAGTTGGCTTGTTTGCTGAGCTCGGTTCTGTTTGCAAAAAAGTTCAATCTGGTCCTCTGGACATTCAAAAAAAATCAAAAAGCAAAACAAAGCAAAAAAATGTAGATACGTTTCGTCTCTCATCTGAAAAACTTCCTCAGTCTGAGGAGCTGTATTCAGCTCGGTCTCTTAAATAGCACCTTCTCAGAGTGGATCAACCAGTTTGCTGCTGACAACCAAAACCAGCTGATCACGTGGTCAAGAAGGACCATCAGTCTAACGATGGATCATTAGCACACTGATGGCTGTTTACTATTCACAGGAGGCTGAGTGATACTAGCAATAACAGCATTGTAAGAGGGGGACAGTTGAACCCGGAGGACTCTAAAGCCCCCAGTATACTGCTGCGTACATCCATACGCAGAGGTACGTGCGTACCCCCCAACGTACCCTCCGTGCAAAGCTGAAATTTTTACACACGCGTACGCGGTGTCGCACAATAAACTGCCCAGCGACGGACTGTTTTGTATGTGACACCAATGTATTAAATTCCCCTTCTTCATCCCTGATCTGGCCTTTTCTTTTGTTTTTTTGCCAAGAGGCAGTGATCTGTTCCTCCTCCGTTGATGCCATGACTGAAATGGTGAGAAATTAAGGAATTTGTCACGAGCGAATTAAAATCAGATCCAGCATGGCTGCGGGAGGGTCTGGAGATTTCCTGGTGTGCTGGTCTGATGTGTGGGCTGTAGAGCCAGCGCTCTCTGTTTTTTTATTTTTTAGATCTATCTTTTAGATTTAGATAAGCATAACAGATTAACAACAAATTCAAAAATATACTTTTTTTTTTTTTCTGAAATGTTACAAGAATAAACCTTTTTAAATCAGAAGCATCATGAACAGTTTATCTCCTGATGCTGCTCAATAATCCAGGTAGATAAATTTAACCAAGTCAGGTCTTCTGAACAGATACTGAACAGATACTTCTCATTTTAAATGTTTCTTTTATTTAAAAGACTTCTTCAGTCTGAGGAGGCACTAAAAACTCAATCAAATAGCACTCATCAACCAGTTTCTGCTAGCCAGAACCAGTATTCACGTATAAAAGGAGGACCATCAACCGAACAGTTGATCATAAGAACTCTGTTTTCTATTCATCGGAGGATTAGTGATTCTATTATTCTACATATTCTAGGAGAGGAATTGAGAGAGAAGTAAATAAACCATCTTTGTGAAGAGAATCCGTCCATCTTTAAACAGGGTCTCCATATTCAACTATCACACCTACTGTTATTTCATCATTCAGTCCTCTGTGAACAACAAGCAGCCATCAGGGCATTAAAGACCAATTATTAGACTGATGTCCTCCTTTTACATGTGAATAGCTATTTTCTTACCAGCATCACAGGCATGAAGAGTTATGAAGTCAGTCATCAGCAGCTGTCAATCAATTTTGTAGAGCGAGATAACAAACATTTACAAGAATCTAATAATTATTTCACAATGAATTTATCTTTATTTTTTTATTTTGCAGCAGTTCCAGCTGATTGCATGCAGCTCAAAACTTTGTTTTCTGTAACTACAGACATTATTCTTATTTAACTGCTTAAAAATACTAGTTTGAAATATTTCCTCCATTAAAAACTAGTCCTCTTAGAGCTTCCAGCCTCAAATAAATATATCTTAATTTAAATTATTTGTATCCATCCATCCATCCTGCCAACAGAACCAGATCTGATGCTTGGTTCTGTTGGCCCAGTCAGAGGGGTTCTGGACCCTCCATCACAAGGGAAAGGTGGGGGGGTTGTTTACCTGTTCGACAGGGCTTGGGAGGTGAATGTAAATACTGGGTTTTGTGTCGTCGCTGCAGCCTCTGCTCTAAAGCAGAGTTCAGTTCAGAGTTCAAATCTGATTTTCAGGAAATAAGATGCGGCGTGGATTAATTTATCATAACTCTGCTTTAACTTGACCTATCAACACCATTTAAAAACTGTTGTGTAGCTTAAAGTCTGTACATCTGACACAAATTAAAATGGAATCGCTGAGTTGCTGCGTCATTCCCGATAGAGCGACTGAAATCGGGCTGTGTGTCTATCTAGGGCTGGGCAATATACCGAAAATTAACAGACACCGAAATTTATAACAATGATCGACGTCATTTTGCCCATGTCGGTTTTTTCGGTGTTTTAAAAAAATAAAAATAAAAGTTGTTTTGTCTTTTGGCTGTGTTGAGGTAAGCTATGCTCATGTCCCTTTAAGACGCTGCGCTACGTGCAGTCTGTAGTCACTGACTCCACCCCATCCAGTCTAACAAGAAGTGAAAGAGACTGTGTGATTGAGAAAATGGAGGAAATTTCTAATGTTGAAGCAGCAGAGCTGGTCCAGGAGGAAGAGGAGCAGCTAATTTAAAAAAAAATGCGTTCGCTTGTAACTGTTTACAAGAGATCTTGGCACAACTCATTGTTTACTTTTCCAAATGGCAAATGTGAAATTTATCTTTTATTATTTAGTTTTATTTACAAGGGAATACTTGACAACTCAAATGTGACCATTTCATTTGTAAGAGATTGTATTTTAAATGCTTTGTGTTTACAGGAAAGTTATTTTATTCTTCTAAATTTGTTCCGATCCCTTGTTCTGCTGGGGGACTTCAATGCTCATGTGGGCAATGACAGTGAGACCTGGAGGGGTGTGGTTGGGAGGAACGGCCCCCCTGATCTGAACCAGAGTGGTGTTCTGTTGTTGGACTTCTGTGCTCGTCATGGATTGTCAATAACGAACACCTTGTTCAAGCATAAGAGTGTCCATATGTGTTCTTGGCACCAGGACACCCTAGGCCGCAGTTCGATGATCGACTTTGTCATCGTCTCATCTGATCTGCGGCCACATGTCTTGGACACTCGGGTGAAGAGAGGGGCGGAGCTGTCAACTGATCACTACCTGGTGGTGAGTTGGCTCCGATGGTGGGGGAGGATGCCGGTCAGACCTGGCAGGCCCAAACGTATTGTGAGGGTTTGCTGGGAACGTCTGGCAGAGTCTCCTGTGAGACGGAGTTTCAACTCCCACCTTCGGGAGAACTTTGAACATGTTCCAAGGGAGGTGGGGGACATTGAGTCTGAGTGGACCATGTTTCGTGCCTCTATTGTCAAAGCGTCTTACCGGAGCTGCGGCCGCAAGGTTGTCGGTGCCTGTCGCGGCGGCAACCCTCGAACCCGATGGTGGACACCGTCGGTGAGGGATGCTGTCAGGCTGAAGAAGGAGTCCTATCGGGCCTTTTTGGCCTGTGGGACCCCGGAAGCAGCTGATGGGTACCGGCAGTCCAAGCGACATGCGGCTCGGGTGGTTGCTGAGGCAAAAACTCGGGCATGGGAGGAGTTCGGAGAGGCCATGGAGAACGACTTCCGCACGGCTTCGAGACGATTCTGGTCCACCATCCGGCGTCTCAGGGGGGGAAGCGGTATGCCACCAACACTGTTTATAGTGGGAGTGGTGTGCTGCTGACCTCAACTCGGGATGTTGTGGGTCGGTGGGCGGAATACTTTAAAGACCTCCTCAATCCCACCGGCACGTCTTCCACTGAGGAAGCGGAGCCTGGGGACTCTAGGTCGGGCCCTCCAATCTCTGGTGCTGAGGTCACCGAGGTGGTTAAAAAGCTCCTCGGTGGCAGGGCCCCAGGGGTGGATGAGATTCGCCCAGAGTTCCTTAAGGCTCTGGATGTTGTAGGGTTGTGTTGGCTTACACGACTCTGCAATATTGCGTGGACATCGGGGGAAGTTCCCCTGGATTGGCAGACCGGGGTGGTGGTCCCCCTATTCAAAAAGGGGGACCGTAGAGTGTGTTCCAACTACAGGGGAATCACGCTCTTAAGCCTCCCTGGTAAGCTCTATTCGGGGGTTCTGGAGAGGAGGGTCCGTCGGATAGTCGAACCTCGGATTCAGGAGGAACAGTGCGGTTTTCGTCCTGGCCGTGGAACACTGGACCAGCTCTACACTCTCAGCAGGGTCCTGGAGGGTGCGTGGGAGTTTGCCCAACCAGTCTACATGTGCTTTGTGGACTTGGAGAATGCGTTTGACCGTGTCCCTCGGGGGGCCCTGTGGGGGGTACTCTGGGAGTATGAGGTACCAGGCCCTTTGATACGGGCTGTTAGGTCCCTGTATGACCGGTGTCAGAGCCTGGTCCGCATCGCCGGCAGTAAGTCGGGCTTGTTCCCGGTGAGAGTTGGACTCCGCCAAGTTGCCCTTTGTCACCGATTCTGTTCATAACTTTTATGGACAGAATTTCTAGGCGCAGCCAAGGTGTTGAGGGGATCCGTTTTGGTGGCCTTAGGATTGCGTCTCTGCTTTTTGCAGATGATGTGGTCTTATTGGCTTCATCAGATCGTGATCTACAGCTTTCGCTGGAGCGGTTCGCAGCCGAATGCGATGCGGCCGGGATGAAGATCAGTTCCTCCAAATCCGAGGCCATGGTCTTGAGCCGGAAAAGGGTAGAGTGCCCTCTCCGGGTCAGGGAGGAGGTCCTACCCCAAGTGGAGGAGTTCAAGTATCTTGGGGTCTTGTTCACGAATGAGGGAAAAATGGAGCGTGAGATCGATAGGCGGATAGGTGCAGCGTCTGCAGTGAAGCGGGCGCTGTACAGGTCTGTCGTGGTGAAGAGAGAGCTGAGTCAAAAGGCGAAGCTCTCAATTTACCGATCGATCTACGTTCCCACCCTCATCTATGGTCACGAGCTTTGGGTTGTGACCGAAAGAACGAGATCTCGGATACAAGTGGCCGAAATGAGTTTTCTCCGCAGGGTGTCTGGGCTCTCCCTTAGAGACAGGGTGAAAAGCTCGATCATCCGGGAGGGACTCGGAGTAGAGCCGCTGCTTCTCCTCGTCGAGAGGAGCCAGTTGAGGTGGCTTGGGCATCTGTTTAGGATGCCTCCTGGACGCCTCCCTGGTGAGGTGTTCCGTACACGTCCCACCGGAAGGAGGCCCAGAGGAAGACCCAGGACACGCTGGAGGGACTACGTTTCTCGGCTGGCCTGGGAACGCCTCGGGATTTCCCCGGAAGAGCTGGCCCGAGTTGCTGGGGAGAGGGAAGTCTGGGCCTCCCTACTTAGGCTGCTACCCCCGCGACCCGACCCCGGATAAGCGGAAGAAAATGGATGGATGGATGGATGGATGGATAAATTTGTTCAGTTGTGCTTATTTGTTCAAAAACAATTAACAACTAAAAGTACACATTTTCTTCATTTATTTGCAGAAGCTGTAGTTTTAAAGTTCATTAACGTGGTAATAACAAGTGAATTATGCATCAATGTGTGAATTATTCATGCCGGCCTATCACATTATTATCGGGGGTGTTGCAGTTATCGTCCATTTTTCATTATCGAGGTGAACTGCTCAATATATTGTGATATTGATTTTAGGCCATGTCGCCCAGCCCTATGTCTATCACGAAAGTGCGGGGGGTGGGGGTGTGTGTGTGGGGGGGGGGGGGGGGGGGATTTGCTCCAAACGGGGGAATGTCAGTCAGAGTAGGAGGAGACATGTCCACCAGTTATGAAGAATGCAGAGCGCCATTTGTTTTTAATTGCACTCTCCAGTAAAACTGTTTTGTCCTGATGTGAGAAACTTCGTGGTGCATTTGTGACTGAACTCTGCTGCTCAAACAGAATCGGACCATCAGCTCTCCACCGGCTTACTTTTGACCCGCCGTCCTGTTAGTAATTAGTCAAGACAACGCGAGCTTCAATGTGATTGGATGTAATTCTTGTTGAGGCAGACTCTGTCTCGCTCTCAAGCTGGAAAGCCAGCCCTGGGCCGGAGTGCTTTAAGCCGTGCGTGCGTGCGTGCGTGTGTGTATTTCTGTGTGTGATTTGCATGTTCTTCTCGTGCTTGCGTGAGTTTTCACCGGGTGCTTCGGTTTCCTCCCATAGTTCAAAAACATGCATGTTAGTCTGCCTTCAGGCCCAGGCCTCCCTTGCAAAAGGGATCTGTGACGTCAGTGGAACTTTGCCTGGTTAAATAAAGGTTAATAAAAGTTGCGTTAAAATAATTGTCAGTGTTAACCATTTGCTGTAAACACCACTAATATTTGTGTGTGCTTTTACCACTATAATGGCTTTTTTCATAAATAAATTTGTGGATTCTGTGTTGTTGGTTTTTTTTTCTTTTTTAGGGGTGAACATTGGAGAGACATTAGACAAGCGCTATGATGTGTACGGCTACACGGGTCAAGGTGTGTTCAGCAACGTGATCAGAGCCAGGGACACTGCCAGGGCTGGCCAGGAGGTGGCAGTCAAGATCATCAGAAACAACGAGCTTATGTGAGTAACCATTTAACAGTAAATAGCTGTTTTATGCTTATCAACACTTCATATATATTGCTTGATACTTCATGTATTTCATTTTAAACACCTCATTACAATGGCTTCATGTGTTTGTGATAAACAGGCAGAAAACCGGTTTAAAAGAGTTAGAATTCCTCAGGAAGCTGAATGATGCTGATCCTGATGACAAGTTCCACTGCCTTCGTCTCTTCAGACACTTCTACCACAAGCAGCATCTTTGTCTCGTGTTTGAGCCTCTAAGGTACTGAAAGGGAGAGAGCCTGCCTTACTGTATCATCCTCCGACATGTTACCATTGTAGCATTTATTTGACCCCCCCGTTCATCTCTCATCTGTAGTATGAATTTACGAGAGGTGCTAAAGAAATACGGCAAAGATGTTGGGCTCCACATCAAAGCTGTGCGATCGTACAGCCAACAACTATTCTTGGCTCTGAAGCTGCTCAAGCGTTGCAACATCCTCCATGCTGACATCAAGCCAGACAACATCCTGGTACTGTCAAAGTATAACTCGTGGATTCAACAAAATGGCAGCCTCACATTTAATATACAGATACATTCGGTTTTTGTTTTGTTTTTCTTTAAAGGTAAACGAGTCAAAAACCATTTTGAAGCTCTGCGACTTCGGTTCTGCATCACATGTTGCCGACAATGACATCACACCATATCTCGTCAGCAGATTTTACAGAGCTCCTGAAATTAGTAAGTAGTAATAGTTTCAGTTTTAATCATAAAATGGTTTTTGTTGAGTTGAAGCTTTACTTAAAATGTCTTTTCTCAGTCATAGGGAAGCCTTATGACTACGGCATTGACATGTGGTCTGTCGGCTGCACTTTGTACGAGCTGTACACCGGAAAAATCCTGCTTCCCGGAGCTTCCAACAATCATATGCTCAAGATGGCAATGGACCTGAAGGGCAAGATGCCCAACAAGGTAACGTTGCATCAGTTTCAGTTCCTTCCTGGGTCAAAGTGAGAAGTGTTGCTGTTCCATGATGTGTTCGAGAAGTGATGCAAGTTTATGGATTTTTTTTTTTTTTCTTCAGATGATCCGGAAAGGATTGTTCAAAGACCAGCACTTTGATCAGAACTTGAACTTTCTGTACATTGAAGTAGACAAAGTGACCGAAAGGGTAAGACGGTCTTTGAGCTTCCACTCTATATTTTATCTGCTCACTGTACAATATGGGCTTTTTTAAATAAGTCATTGCGTGATTTCATAAATGCTGACACGTCTCTTGTTGTTTTTTCTGCTCCGTGCCAACAGGAAAAGGTGACGGTGATGAGCACCATCAACCCGACCAAAGACCTGCTGGCAGAATTAATAGGAGGCCAGCGGCTGCCTGAGGACCAGAGGAAGAAGGTGATGCAGCTGAAGGACCTGTTGGAAGGCACTCTAATGCTGGACCCAGCTAAGCGCGTCTCCATAAACCAGGCTCTGCAGCACCCCTTTATCCAGGAAAAGATCTGACACCCTGAACGCTCCGTGCTCCCAGAGCGAGCAGACAGAACCGACCACTAAAGCAGCTCTGACTGGAACTCTGCAGTGATGCAACCCACCTTCAGACTTCGTTTCAGAATGCCATCGTGTTTAGTTCTTCCTCAACATGACTCTGTCAATGGATACATTATTATTTTAATGTAAATAGATCATCCAAACGGTAGCCGGTTTTCATTGTAAACTTCCCTTCATACCCTGCAATGGCAGTTATATACTTTTTTTTTAAATTTCCCTGGCACTGAAGTGACAGATGATTAAAGGAAAAAAACATGATTCTTGTAAATACTGTGTCTATTACATTAAGAATAAGAAGACGGATACATTTTGACCTCGGAACACGTTAGTTTTTAACCACGCTGCTCATCGTGGGGCGCTGCATGCTTTAGGAAGTGCACCCTTTGTGCCGTGTGGTGCAGGCCTGTGTAAATGCTCCGTCTCTGCAGTGTCCCTCGTGTTAATGCAACCACTGATGAGGCCTGAACTGAAGGAAACGATGCGTATTCATTTCTAGTTTAAGACTTAATTTTGAAAGCAGGTAGTGATTTTTTTTATTATTTTAACTTCCTCTCCCTGCTGCACTCTGGCTTGGTCTTAGCTCTAAAGGCTCTCACGTTTAAGTGCCTCCTGTTTGAGCCTGGTGTGTTAAAACGCCAAACAAAACAACGCTGGCCTAAAGAAGCCACACTTCTGACCCTCCCCTATAAATGTTGTACATACAGTCCATGGTTGCTGTTCTTTTGTGTACGTTTAATTCTTTTTCTTTACATGAAGTGATGAAACCAATCTTGTGATTATAATAAATAGTTGTGGAAACGCTGCTGAAAGAGCACCTTCAGTATAAAACGGCTTTTTAGTAATAAAATGTTTCCTACTGTACACAGCTTTTTGGGGGTTTGTTTTTTAGGATGTTGCAGTGGCGTATACCCTGTAATCTCTATTTATAACAATTGGAAATGCTTGAAAATCACTAAAACCTGCTGACCAGCACTTTATAGTTCAGGTCTAATAGGATAAGAATGTGTTCAAAAGTCATTATTAAGAAAAGACTGCAGAAACCTTGGAGCATCTAAAGTAAAACCTTCATTTTATTACGTTTTAACAAATATCAGGTCTGCACTTGCCTTCATCTTCGTCATGAGATTGCGCTTTGAGCTGAAAAAGCATAATTGGAAGCTCACTTCGAAAGGATTCCCATTTTCCTCCATTTTTGAAAGTAGGAGAGTGATGCAAGAGCTCTCTGTGCTTGAACGGAGTCTACTAAGAGGGCTTCTGATCGGAGCTGATGGGCTGTCATCCTCAAGGGGTCTAAATACTCATAGGCTGTAGTGGGATAACCACCAGTACAGATGTCAGCATGAATAAGATGGCATGCTAACACCTGCTGGCTTTAATCTCAACATGAAGAGACGAGGACATGACTGCCTTTAATGTGAATATGTAACCAAACAAGTAAATTTAAAGCTATCAAATTCATGCGAGCAGAGGTCAACTTGAGCTTGTAATATCTTTAATGGCCACTAGAGGGCATCAGAAACACCTGAGAACCTTCATCCAAGGTCCAGAGGACCTGACTTGGATTATGGAGCATGAACTTTCATGACCTGAGAACCTTGTGTATAAATGAAAAGGACAGTCCTTGGCACTGAGGGATGTAATTTCAACTGTTTAGTATATTTAAAAAATAAATTACGAATATGCCACAACCTGCATTAAGAAACAATAGGAAATAAATAAATGGGGAGTGGTGCCCTAGATAGCAGCTCCCTGCTCCACACAGGGCTGTGGTAGCTCAGTGGTTTGTGGTTGCGTCGGGAAGGGCATCCGGTGTAAAAATAAATGCCAATTCTTTGTGCAACTTAGTTCGCTGTGGTGACCCCTGAAGAAGGGAGCAGCCGAAAGAAGAAGAAGAAAGAAATTGTAAGAGATTATTTATAGAATCATGAGGAAAAACACTGCTATGTACTTTGTTCCTCTGGCTTTTGTCACAACTTGAATTCTCTGATGCTTGAACCAGTGGTGTGGACTCGAGTCACATGACTTGGACTCAAGTCAGACTCGAGTCATTTAATGTTTTGACTTTAGATTTGTTTGGAAAAAATGTTCAGAGACTTATGACTTGACGTGGACTTGGACCTGCTTCCTTTTCATTCAACCTTTATTTATCCAGGATAATCCCATTGAGCTTTGGGAACTCTTTTACAAGAGAGACCTGATTTTAACAAAGAGTGATGACAACAGTGGACAACAATAGCCAATCATAAAGGATGCATACAAATTGAGAATTTTTTTTTAACAAGAGGAAATAAAATTGAATTTAAAAGCAAATATAACAAAAAACAGATAGGTTGTAAGGCGATGTAAAAAACTAAAAACAAGAACATATCTGCATTGTTTTTTGTTTTTTTCGTGGGGCCGAGATGGGGTAGAGGCAGGGCAGCCGACTTAGGACCCAAAGCCCTATAGGTTTGATCCCCAGTTGTTTCACATCTCGTGGTGTCTCTGAGCAGGACACCCTATCCCCAATTGCTCCCCGGGCACCTTCAATAGCTGCTCACTGCTCCACCTGGTGCAAGGTTGAGAGCTTCAGATCTTTTTGCAAAATATTCCAGGAAACAGGAGCAGAGTAGGAGAAGGTCCTTTTGTGTAGTTCAGTCTCCACTGAGGGGACACTGCAGGTAATAATGTCCTGAGAGCGCACGCTGTAGCTGCACTCACACGGATACATGTAGGAGGAGATGTATGAAGGCAGCAGACCAAGAAGCGATTTAAAGATGAAAATGTACCAGTGAGAGAGTCTGTGTGAAGTTAATGATGACCAGTGCACCAGTGAATACACTTGAAAAGATTTGATATTTTAATTCATTTCAGTTGACATAATTGCAACTTTGTTCTAAAACACTTGAAAGGACTTGAGATTTCAAGTTTCAGACTTGGGACTTGACTTGACAGTTGCCTGTCTTGACTTGAGACTTGACTCGGGACTTGAGGGCAAAGACTTGATACTTGACTTGGTCCCACCTCTGGCGTGAACATAGCTAATGACAAACAGCATTCATCGATCCACCTCCGACCGTCTTTTATTGCTGTAACCAGATCAGCTCTGCAAATTTAAGCCTCGTCGTTGACCATTTTCTTCCATTCCACCAGAGATTTGAACTGGATGGGAGAGCTGGACTTTTTGCAGGTCATACCGAAAGTTTTCACAACCTTGGCCCTGTGGGACAAAATTAAGTAATCACAAATCCGTTCCATTTATGGAATAAGAAAAGTGATCAAAATGCAATGCAGACATTGTCATTTATTGAAGTAATGGCTGTCATCTTCTGTCTTTACCTGACATGACATCCACAGGCTATGGTTCCTTTGCTTCAACCTACTGTCACCTTTTTCTTTTCCGTTTTAGTGTTAATGGCTTCATTTGGATTATCTGGATGTAAATCCCATTTCTTTAAGGCATTTTCTTAGTTTGGTTACTCTAAATTTTGTCCAATAGTTTTGTTGCATATTTTCTGTTTTCAAGGCATTATGCTTTAAGTTTTCTCTCTTGACACTTTGATGCTTTCCTTGTACAACCTTCCCGTTTGTTTTGGACAGATTTTATACAGCTGACGAGCATCTTTTGCAATATTCTGTGGGAGTTTCATAATCCTCCCCTTTGTTTCAACTTGCATCTCCTGCTTTATGCAACATCTCTCTTATCTGGATGCAAGTGTTTGTTTTAGAATGGCAAATAGGAGTGATTGTATAGTTTTTTCCTCATCTTGTTAAATAAGAATCAGAATCAGCTTTTATTGTCATTGCACCAAAGCACAATGAAATTACATTTCAGTACAGCCTGTCCAAGAAACAAACAATATAGACATGGGAAGACGGGGGTGCCTGAGGCTGCAGCCTCTTGAGAGGCGCTGCCTTTTTCCGTTGGATAAGAAAAAGGCAACATGAGGGAAAGAAGATGTAAAAAAAAAATCATCTCACACTGTATCCCTAACAGGACATAGTGAGGTTACAAAAAACCTCACACACACAAAATGGCACCTGTGACTGACTACAGCAATTTAATTCCTATCTTTTTTTTATTGTTTCTTAATGCCAAAAGGTGGGGATTTGTTGTGCATGTCAGTGTTCGTTTTATTCAGTCCATGCTTTTGTTCCATGACCAAAGCTTCAGAGATAATCTCAAAATTGCTTTTAAATACTTTTGTATACAGAAAAAAATATATAATGGACTCAACAAGGTGCCCAGGTCCTGCAACACAAGTCCACATTATGACTCCTTCACCGCCATGCTTTACAGCTAGTGTGAGGTGCTTATTTTAATATACTTTGTTTGGTTTTTCATACGTGTGACTCTGAGCATTATGGTCAAACGTCTCTAGTTTGGGCTCAACATATAAGAAAATTGTTATAGAAGTTTTAGTTATTCAAAGGCCTGAGCCATTCTGCGAGGCTTTCTTCTGGCAAATTTCCAAACAACGCACTTTTGTCAAGTCTTTTCTAACTGTTTTTTAATAAACTTTAACATTAAGATGCTGACAAAAGTCTGTGAAGTGTTTTTTTCATAACCTCTGTGTTTTACACTGTTTGACTGCTGTGTGGTTGAGTTGTCCACACTAAGGTAAGAGTGACAACTCTTTAAAATATTATACGCACATGTATGTTAGTCATGTAGAATGATACCGGCTTTAAAAACATGATAAAATGACTGCTGATGCCTTTTAATCGTGGCACATTATTAATACACACCCAGCAAACTACCAAAACTTCTGCTTTTATAGAGCTGATGACAGTAAAGCTCTATTTGAGGGTTTATTTGTTTGTTTTGTCACAAACAGCTAATTTTGGCTTTATTTGAAAGTAATGATGTGGTGCGGTATGTGTCCTGACATTTTACCATTGACGTGATTACAGTACTTATTGCACACTGGCTTTATTATCAGCCTGTCATTCATAAAAGAAAAAGAGGCCGAAAGTATAGTTTCCATTTTTTTTAATTAAAACCATACAAACATTTGTTGTCAGTTATAAAAGAGTGAAGCAGTGGTCAGTGCTGGGCACTTGAAGCTCCGCTCTGAGCCAGATCTGCTGTTCCTCTGCCCAGGGCCTGGGAATCTTTGAAGTCAGTTCTTTATTGGTCTCAGGATACTCCATATTCCCTTTGCTAAGCCTAAACAAGGAATTGCTTATTTACATAATATATATAAAAGCACAATAAATGTGAAAACTTTAAACAGAAAAAAGTTGAATGCATGTCGCAAATCTTAACTTTGCAAATATTCACTTTCCTCATATAAATGTTCTGTTCTATTTCTTTTTCACGTCTCACGAGACACTTTTACACGTTTAAGTTTTTATGTTTTTCATTATTCACAATGGAAGATTGGCAGTGATCGTTCTCTTTACCGACAGGCAGATACTGTACGTTTAAGGCACATGTCTCAGTTGCTTCCTTGTTTCAAATAAAACAATCTTTACTTGTGTGAAATAACAAATCTTCATCAATACACAGCTACAAAATAACAAAAGTACCAAAAAAACAATAAAAAGGTTTGTACCTAATTTCTTTGACTGAAAGGTAAACTCTTCAGTATTCTGCGTGCGGTCACAGTCGACTGCAAGGCAATACTAACACTGCTGACAAAGTCACTGCAATACTTGATGGCAGAACACATTCTGAATTTTAAAACCTTTGGAGAAAACAAAACATCTGATTTCCTATAAAACAGAACATATGATACAGCTTTGAAATGCTGTGGACCTTATTGTGTATTGGTCATTAAAACCAAACAATTATTCATATCAACTACATAAAGCACCAAATTTAGGACATCGTGTCCATTCAGTTCCGTGCAATCCAACATCAAAATTCAAACCACAGAATACAAAAAAAAAAAAAAAAAAAACACTTAACATACACATGTGAGTACCTTACCAGATTAACAAAATCAAGCCAGTTACATATCAAGTGGATGACAATCTATGGCAGCTGAAGATTTGGATGTATCCATTGTTTTGGACTGGATCTTGACAAAAAATACCACTTGGTAGAAGCACTGAAACGTTTACAGTTCCACAAAATTAACATACAAACATAATGACATCAAAATGTAAATATACCACCTAATAAAGCCTATGATATATAAAGTTATCATCGGGGGCTTGTTAAATGTCCCCATGTCTCACCCGCAACATCAAGAAAAGTTTTAGCGGTTGTGTACCTGCGATACTACACCGGTTAATAATTGGCACATGATCTAGTCTATGTACTTATATAGACAGTGTTCAACTTGAGTACATGCATTTTTACAAATAGGATGTACAGCAAAAACAGTTACATTACACAGAATACTGATTTAAGGAGGTGAGCTATTCCTCACCGTCACATTAATGTACAAACAGAAGGGCTTCCAAAAATAGCCTTCATTCCAGAAAAGGAATATAACTCTTTATTTGTACAAACTTTTGACACAACTCAGTTCTGTGTGGGATGAAATCTCCCTACAGTAAAACAGTTTGGCAACTTCTAAGTTTTAATAATTGCCACTTTTATTGTCTTAATCTTCACATACACCAATGGTTTACGCTTCTGTTTTTCTTTATTTTCTTTTCCCAAAGGAGGAGAAATCAGAGAGGAGTGGCTATTGCATGATAGCCAGGAATTTACTTTCCTCAGCGAGGGTAGTGAGAAGTGAACTCATGTCTCCAATGGCCATGTTACTTAGACCTGGGGCTACACTGTGGAAAGTAGCTGATGCTCGAGGGGTGGTAAGGCGTGATGAGGTTCTGGACAGACCCTGAAATATGGAGGGACTCAATACTCCTGAGACCAGGCTACCCTGATCATAACTGTCCTCCAACATGTTTCCAAAGTCCAAATTTACCCCTTCATCTAATATGCCAGGCACATGACCATTCACCGTGCTGGTCACTTGGTTTGTACCTGGGGAGGGAAGGGCAGTTGTGTTCTCATTGCCTCCACCTGGTTCTTCAGAAACAGCTATGGAGTCCAGCAAACTCTGGTCCTCCAGGATAGGGAATGATGATGCCTTGCAATCTGCTGGTTCATAAGAGAGGCAGTCTGCAAAGGCCTGCTCAATATATCCATGGTCTGGATTTTCTAGTTTCAGCCCAGATACCTGATACGCAAGCGAACACTGATCTCCACTCCTCTGTAGTTGTTGGGGCTGGCAGGGTCTTGAATGGATTTCACTGGAACTCTCAGAATTAAAGTGTTGTTGGGTTTTGACTAGGTTCTTGGAGCCATTGATTGGTGGGTGAGGTACATGTATCAGGCGATCGTGATAAGGAGGTTCCTGGGGGAGATTGTCCATGAAGCCCTTGCTAAGAGTTAGGTTGTTTCCAACCTGCCAAGAGGTGCTACTGTTGTTGTTCTGCTGGAAGTAGCTTGGTTTCAGTGTTCCACTGGACAAGTGCTGTTTCAGACTTTGAGGAAGAGGCCTTTTGTTCACATGCACAAAATTTGGCCTGCCAATGATGTTTGTAGAGTTGTGACTAGTGCCTCTCATTTCCATGCAGGAGTTAGGGGATGTCTCTAGTTTCACCCCAGGGTTAACACTTTGAGGTTGATTTGCCTGAAAGCAGCTGTTCAGGAAATCAGCAGACAACTGCTGGTGAACCACCATATTTCGGAACTTGTCAAATGGTATCGATGTGGGTTCATGTTCTACATTAAGCCACCTTCTATACTGTGAATGGTGGTTTTGTTCCTTTTGAGGAGATCTGTCAGCACTTCCAGAGCTTACTTCATTCCACTGGATGGGAAGCCTACTAGGGCTGTTCCTCTCTGATATCTGCTGCTGTTGAAGACTGTGAGACCCAAGGAATGTCCCATCTGACTCTGCTGTCTGTATTGCCTCCAAAACGCCTGAATGAGAGGTGTCCCGTTGGTTACTTGCTAATTGGTCCTCAGTCTGAACATAGGAATCAGTGTTAATTTGAACTTGGGAATGCAGATACTGCACCAAGTCATCTGGCAACATATCTTCATCCTCAAGAAACAGACTAGCTTCGTCTTCATTCTCCATGGCCAGAGCTTCTAAGGCTACATTTTCTGCAATGCTAGAAGTGTTTGACGAGTTCTGAATGTTGCACTCCATTCGTGTATAGTTCTGTAGGCTAAAATTACGTGATTCAGGTGTAGAATGGTGAGTCAGAGGGGGAAGAGGGTGGAGATTATTAAGGCTGTTGAAGCGCTGAACTGGAGGCAAACTGCAAGTTTCAGGAGCCTGTGTTCGCACAGGGTCACTAGCTCTACGAATCCCATTCATTGGCCCCTCGCCAGGATAGAGGATCCTTCTTCTGTAACCTACATGTCCCATACCCCCATTGTTATACCCACTATTGCCTTCACTGTAATGAGGTGGTCTAACTAAAGGTGGCAAACAGCAGTTGTTGTCGCCCTCTTCCATCATGACCATTCGAGTCTTCAAACTCATGCGCTCCATGTTAGGTAGAGGTGTGGGAGGTGGGCCACCAGTAGCTGCTGCATATTTAGCTTTAAGGTGGTAATGCTGTGCTGGGGTTAAATTGAGCATGCCCCGTGATCCACTTCCTCCCCCAATGCCAACTCCTCCTAAGCCTCCACAACTCCCACCTGAGAATATCCCTATACCTCCTCCTGCTATCCCACCTCCATACTGGCTAGCCTCACTGGACCGGCGGGAGGCATCAGTGGAAATGGGGTCGTAAGAGTCAGTGGAGCTGAGGTTATGAATGCGACGGTGATTGGCAGCCAATGTTGCGCCCTCGCTCTGGGAAGCCTGGCTAGATCGGCGACTGGAGAAGCACGGGGAGATGCCTGAAGATCGTCTGCTGCTGCTCAGATAAGCTGAACTGGTGGCACTGCCACTGCTGTCGCGCCGGTCTCTGATCAAACTGAGCACTGTTAGCTCTGTGCTGCCCAGCTCAGAGTAAGCAGGTGGTTGAGGAGCAGACACCCCCCACTGCATGCCCAGGCAGGACCCTAGGGAGAGACGTAGACAAAGAAAAGCAAATGAAGAAATTTGGGACATTAAAAAAAGAAACCAAGGAAAATTGAGTGTGGTGAAAATACATTAAAGGAAAATTAAAGAAAAGGAAGCAGAAAAGTTAAGTGCAGAAAGATATTTTAAACAGATGGTAACAACATCTGTTTGAGACATCTGGCAGAAATTGGCCATGAAACGTTACATTACATGCTATTCTTTCTGATTTGATGTACGGCTTGATATCATTCTAATACCATTTTCCAGTGAAAAAGCACATTTTTAACTTTAGTTTTCCCTGGCTATATAGATTTTAAGCTAATTCAGTTCTATTAATTTTTTTTACAGGTGTTTTATGAAAAGAAGAACATAACAAGCAAACAGAAAATGTCCCATCCAGCTTGAATCTCAAACTGGAAGAATGTAAAGATTTGAAACTTACCCTTCCCCAAGATGTTTGGCACTGCCGAACCTTTTGGGGGTGGTGTGGGTGACAGGGACCCCAGCCTGGGCAGCGCTCCATTCACCTGCTTCAGCCTCTCCATCTTCATGTGCTCCATCCAACGCTGGGGGCGCCCAATGCCTCGCCTTGCCTGCAAGGTCAGCATGGCTGCGGTTGCGGTGGAGACCGTAGAGTCCATGACGGGGGCCGGCTCCCTCTCGCACCCCTCCTCTACCTCCTCGTCATTTTCCTCCTCCTCGTCTTCCTCCAGTCCCTTCCCTGGCGAGCGTCCGGCACTCACAGCAAGCTGGACTCCACTGCTGGGATAGGTGCTGATGGGGGACTGGACACTGCTGCATGTAGACTGACCGCCAGGGCTTGGCTGAGACGTCTGACAGACACAAACAAACAAGAAATAAGAGCAGTATAAACAAATTTACCTAAAGTAACATAAAATACTGTTATATGTTACAAACAATGATAACATGTATATGTCTTGGAGGATGCTGTCCCAGTGACATTGTGCAGTATTGCAACACTGTGCATTACCAGCTGTATGCTGTATGTGCAGCTGCACATTGCAACATTGGGATGAGTTTCAGTGGCACTGCAGTTCTACCCAAAGGGACAAACACTGCTCACAGGGATGCATTGTAATGGTAAATGTCAGTACTGTACAACGAAACGAGGAAAGAAACAATCTATAAATATGAAGGATGATTAAGACCCACAATGGAAACAAATTCGGCATGTTTGGGTTGAAAATGCACACCACCGTAGTTGCAACGGGATGAGAAAAATCTAAAACACCAGAATGTGATGGAGAAGAGAAAGAGAAAAATAAGATGTTTTCACAAAAGCATTGTGATTCCTATCTCACCTGATTACCCACTGTCCTTAGAAAAGAAGGAAGAGAAATGCCGAAGCATTGGATAAAGGAAAAGATGCGCTCGTTAGAAAATTTCAGTGCTGAATGTGTTACGTCCCTAATCAGATCAAAAAGGCTTCAAATATGATCAATAATTCTCATAAGAGTGTTAGAAAGTCAAAACAAAGGGATCAGAGTTACTGGTACGTTAATGCAAAGCAGACATAAAGCCTAAAATGAAGCCTTACCATGGGTTTTTCAGTCTTGATAGACTTCACTTGCAGACATTCATCTTGTTTTGAGGTAACATGGTTGTACTCCCTTTGGTCTGTATACCCACCCAGGGGCAGCTGCCCAGGCGACCGGCCCTGGCTGTTGCCCCCAGGCTCCCGTGGCTGTGGTGGTGGGCGTGGGTAATCTCCACGCTGCTTCTTGGTGACGTGTGCCTCCGGCCCATGTACTGTCTTTACATGCTTACGTAAGGAGCTAGGGTCTGTGTAGCGTTTGGTGCAGCCCGGGATTTTACACACATAAGGTTTCTGAAGAAAAACAGAAAGCAGCTTGTTAAAAACAACTTGGTCAAATGGCAAATTCAAGAGTGTGAAAATGTATTTGTTAGTACCTCATTGGAGTGTGTCCGGTTCTGATGTTTCGCTCGATCTGAAGCATTGGAAAAAGCCTTGTTGCAGCCCTCATGTTCACACACATATGGTTTCTCACCAGTATGGGATCGTAAGTGAGTTTTAAGGTTTTCCAGCCGTGAGTATGCCTTGGTACAGCCTTCAAACTAAGGAGGAAAGAAGAGAACGCATATTTTACAATACAAAAGACCGATATACGATAATATCATCTGCAAATAAACAAAGTCAACTGAACAAATATAAGGGCTCCTACTGTGCACTTGTGTGGTTTTTCCCCAGTGTGTCTGCGCATGTGGACTACCAGCATGTACTGCGCCTTGAAGGGCTTCTGTTCTCGGGAGCATTCCTCCCATCGGCACACAAACTCTTTCTTCTCTCCGTGGATGTGGTCATTGTTGATGTGCTGGAGAAAAGAAAAGGAGGGAACATACAAACCTCAATTTAAAACAGTTTAGACATTGTGTAAACTATAAATAAAAAAGGAATCAATGATTTGCAAATACAGTAGTCCCTCGCTACTTTGCTATTCGACTTACACAGACTCGCTCTTTCGCGGTTTTTCAAAGTAAAATTGGACATGATACAATTGGCTGATTGATGGATGAGCCATGGATTGTTTATTTAAAATAAATTATTTTAAATTATTTATCACCTGTGTGCAGCCCACAGGTGCAGGGAGAAACTCCCTCCTGCAGCCTGTCATGATCTCTGCTCTCAGCCACCTGCGGCTCTGTGCCACTCCCACATTTCTCCTCTGGCTGCAGCAGCTTCGTGAAGAGTTAACCCTTTAACCCGTTTGGTTCCGCGGGGAAACCTGGGGTGTTCTCTGTCTGCCGGACCCGATTCTGGACTGAATCAACAATTCATGCTGCATGGATTGTTGAAAGTTTTACAGTATTTAAATTAAAATTGTTTATTTACACAGAGGGAGGGAGATTGGAAGTAACAGGTGATGAGTGTGAGTGCAGCGTTGCAGGGAGCTGAAATCATGACATTCTGTGCTCTTTTAGAGCATTTAGAGTTTAGAAACATTATTTAGAATTGCAAGATTGTGGGCAGGGTTTATAAAGCCTGTATAGCCTATATATTAATACTAAAATAAACTACTATTCCTACTATTTGTACTACTATTCCTACTTCGCGGTTTTTCACTCATCGCGGGGGTGGGGCTGCAGGGTATGGAACCCCCACGATAAACGAGGGACTGCTGTACATAAACTTGTTCTTTTTTTTTTTTTTTTTACAAAAAAAACAGGATAATTGTGAAACTGATGGCAGCTAAATATTTTACACATCTCAACATACTGGAATGAAGATTGTAGTTTAGAGCAGACATTTTTCATTATGTTGCTGTTTCAACAATATAAAACATGTTTTAAGACCACAGTAATCCACATTAGTCTTGGCTACTTTCAGACTAGCCTTTAGCACATCAATCCAGTCAGAATTAAACTCCATGTTTCCAAACTGAGGCCATTCAAAGAGCTATCTCCAACAGGTAAGATGATAATTGTTTGGATTCTTTCTGCAGAATCCAGTCCAAAAAAATTCAAACTATCCCTTTAAGAGTGTTTCTTTTTTTTATGTTTTGTTCCATTTACCGTAGTTCCTTTACCCCTGTTACTTGGAGCACTTCATTTTCTTCCTTTCCAGCTGTTCTTTTTTCTAATTTATTCTGCTGAAGAATGCACAAAGGCTGGAGAGCCTCAGTGTCCAATATGAATAGGATTTTCTAATAAAATACTGTCACTTCCCTTCACTTTGGGGCCTCGTCACTCTGTGACAAGTGCTGACAGTTGTGCTGTCATAGCAACTTTCAGTCTGTGGCTTAAGAAGGAAAAGAGGAGGCAGAGAGGTGAGCAGATGGAGCCAGAACCCAAAAGTTAAGTCAAGGCTTCTGAAATGTGAGGGCTTTACAACTCCAGCCAAGTATTATTTCAGTTAGCATCACCTTTGTCTTCCTCCAACCATCTCTTGTCTTCTTTTTTTCTTTTCTTCCTTTCTCACTAACTGTCTTGTGAAAATGGGTAACTGGTGGTGATATTAAAGGGTGGAAAAACCAGGCAAAGACATGAAAATAAACCCCAGACCTTTGGGAATAAAGTCAACATCAGGCTCTCTTTAAGAGACAACGGTTTGGTGGCCTCTGAAGTACCTTCTGAGGGCAGTAAACCCAGAGAGACACACAATATCCTGACCGGAGGAAGCCGGCGTTATTATGACATTCCTGAGCGGTAAAAAAAAGACTCTTTTAACCTTGGGGCTGAATACAGACAGGCAGGAAGAGAGGGCAATAACTACAGACTTGAACGTGAGCGCTCCAAAATGTCTGGGGAATTCATGCTTTGTGAGAGCATTTCATAACATCCACCGCCGATAGGTGAAGGCGGACAATAATGTTTTTGCTCGTGCCTCTGTGTGTGTTCATGTGTACCAAAATATCTCTTAAACAAGAGGAGGAATTTTAATGAAACTTGAGGAAAGTCATTATGAAATGTACGTCAAAAACTTTTGGAGTCATTTCAATTAAAGATGGACAGCTAAATGACCTTAGCCAACATACAAACGACTATGGCTCAGTAAATTTGACAGATTTTGAGCTGAAATTTTGTGTAGTAGCTTAGAGTCACTGACAATACTCTGAGACTAATGTCTTATGAGTTTGCATCAAATTGTGCATAATGTTATATTAAAGGTTTGACCCAAATGGCTACAATGCTTGGCTTTTATTTATTGCAAAATGAATACAAGACCAAAGCAACCAAGGACATTTTCCCTCCAGGCACGACTAGACAGCATCACCTTTGCACCTCTTCAGCACATGCTGTCTGCTGGCCACATGTTAACCCTCCACCCATCTAACAACCATGACATCGACCAGAAACCTCACTGCTTTTCACCTCCCGGTAAAGACAAAAGAGGGTTATCAACAAATGAGTCAGCATCCAATAGCAGGGATCAGAAGCAAAAGCGATCAGCAAAATTGACAATAATACATCATCAAAGAGCCTCCATTATTCTCAAGTGACATTTTTTAATTCTAAAGTGACAAAACAAGACTAATTCCAGGGTAAATGATTGGAAACTGAATCATCAAAGGCTGTAGAGACGTTCTCCCAAGATCAATCTTCTCCCCACCTCAGCCCAAGCTTCAGAAAGCCTGACTCCTTCCCTTTTTTTCTTCCTCTCCATGAGGAAATCCCCGTGGCAAGCGATCGGTCTGCTGCAACCTGCGCTCGATATCCCTCAGCTGAGAGCGATGGGAGAGTGCCACAGTGTTGGATCATGTGCCTACAGCTGGCACGCCGCTCACACACCCTCACTGTTTGTACAATTGAAGGGGGTCGCTGACGGATGTGATGCATTAGCCTCTGAGCTGACAGAAAGGGGGGACAGGCAGCACAAAGGGGGGGCACAGAGAAGCCTAATAACATGATCTAATGGCAATTCTTATTGAATCAATAATCTCCATGCTGAGCAGACAGGTCCCGTTGGTCGGCCAAATCGACAAACAGGTGCTGATAGCGGCGGTGCAGCGGGTTATTCATCTTCCCCCTGCCAGCTTATCGGCCAACAACTGTAAAAACGCCACCAAGATGGATTTAGGAGGGAGTTGCACGACAACGAACGCATGGGACACGGACACGGGGGACACTGGAGCCGTCTGTGACATATGAACGCTGCACTTCCACAAACACACACACACACACACACACACACACACACGTGTAGGCACCGCGTTCCTGGTTCAGACCTATATGGCTTAAGCAAATACAACAAACATATTATCACCAGGAGGAGAAAGGTTTTACTGTTTCTGTCGCGTTTGTGTCTGTCTGTAGTTTTAGCAAAATATCTTGTGAACCATTGGATGAATTCTAGTGAAACTCCCAGACAAATCATAATTCAATGTAGATTTATAACTAGTAAACTTTTGGAATAACTCCTGTTAACAGAGGTTGCTACAGACAAGCAACCTTAGCTAACATAAAGTGACTACAATTCAGCCAGTTTTTCAGATACTGAGTTAAAATTTAGAGTTCAGTAGTCCCTCGCTACTTTGCGGTTCGACTTTCACAGACTCGCTACGTCGCGGTTTGTCAACACACATTAAAATTTTTTTTTTAAAGTACAGTATACATGATTGTCAACTTTAATATTACTCACGTGATTGGTACAGTACTGGATACAGTACTGTACAGTAAAAAGTTAACAAAAAATACTTCGGAAAGGTGCCGTCATTTTGTAGTTTACTCTCTACATGTAGTTCTATGCTACACTGTTATCCCACTCATAACAACCACATTTCCCATAAGCCAACAGGACTCCGTCCAGAAGCATAATTTCCTTCTGCTGAAATACGCAGGGACGCGTGTCGTCGTAGGTCCTGGACTCCATGCGAAGTCCATCCATCGGGACTTTTTTCCTCCAGACTTGGACTCAATAGACCACCTCTGGTCCACGCCAGCCAACCGAAGGTCTGCCCACCCCAGAGGGAACTATGGTATACTGTAATGTCTAATACACAATTTGAAACGGATCACATAAGCTTTGGTTTTAAAACTTTTCCATTAAATATTAGAGTCAACTAAGTATGTAAAAGCAAAATATTACATGAAGCACTGGACAGATCTTAATGAAACCCAGAAGGTAATTATTGGGTGCATATTTACAATAATCAACTTTTGTGGTCAACTTTTTTCAAGAAAGTTGCCACAGCAAATTGCCTTTAGGAAACACAAAATTGGCTCTAAATCAGGTAATTGTACACAATTTTAGCAAATCTTTGGTGTGGTAGTGGCTGAGCATTATCTGCAACACATACTTTAAGCACAATATTTTTCCTTAAAACCATGACGTAAATTTTTGGCAGCAATTCTACCCGTTAGCAAAATATTTATTGAAACACTGGACAGATTATAATGAAAATGTCAGAAAACAAGTACTGTTATTCAATTGAATAACATTTAGAGTTAACCCAATTGAAAATGACCACAACAGCTAAATTACCCTATCTAACTCTTGTGGGGGAGTGGCGACGCAGAGGTTAGAAGATGAGCCTGTGATCGGAAAGTCGCAGGGTCAACTCCCGGTACCGTCAACATCAAAATGTGGGTGGAAAAGGTGAAACACCCACACCTGCCTCCACCCTCATTCGCCCCTATCTGGGCCCCTGAGCAAGGCCCTTAACCCCCACCATCTGCTCCCTAAACAGGTCTCTCTTGAAAAAGAGTTCTCGTGACTCAATTAGACTACCTGGATAAATAATGGGTAAATGAAAGAAATAATAATAATGATAATTCAAAAATTATTAGAACTTTAGTTCCTTTTATAGATGTTCAGAATCAGATTTATTGTCATTGCACCAAAGCACAATGAAATTACGTTTCAGTACAGCCTGTC